TTTTTTTTCCTTGAGGAAGTTGATAACGATATTATGGTGGTCTATTTTGTTTGTCTGTATTTTTGATTTGTCTGTAGATGATTCATAATGAAAGTTTTCTAGACCAATTAGCTTTACAAGCTCATCACGAAAATCAATAGATTCGAGCTCACCACGGACAAATATTGGAGGAGGTGAAATTGTTTTAGTTGGTGTTTGTTCACAAGATCTGGTGGTAGAATTTGTTTGGTCGTTAAGCTCAGGTTTTTCTCTACTTGCTTCTTGGCTGTCGGATTTTGTCAAAGAGAGATGACGTTGGGTAGATTGATTTGGCATTTCGTAGTCATCGTGTCCTATAATTACTGAATCGTTATGGTCATCTGAAAATTTAAAATGCAGTATAATAATTAATAAGTTAATTTGAATGATATTTATAAAAATGTATTATTGTTTTACTGTTAGAATTTGGTAATTCTTGTACACCTGTACTCTCTTCTGTTTCTAAAAAAAAATATGATAAATATAAAAATAATATTTATATGTTACAATTTTAATCACAAATAAACAAATTTTAAAAACTATAGATGTGTGTTATACGCAAATATTAAACATCATTATAGTTCAAATATTAAAATTTAAAAATAATAATCTAATAATTTCGCCGATTGACACTTTGTGAGAAATTTTTTTTTCTAATTTTCTTATTTCTTCTGATAAGTTTGAGATTATTTTCCTCATTTCTTTAAAAAAAAATAAAATAAAAATCCATAAATCTTAAAACCATTAAGCTGCAATATAGGGATGCTATTGTTTAAATAAGATAAGATCCTAGAATCTTATCAAGAATGCAAAATCATGGATAACGAGAAAATTTGGATGTGTTAATTTTAATCAACACAGATGTTACCCGAGCATGGCTGTTTCCCTGACTACTTTAAAGTATCAAATAGTAACCATTGTCATGACTTTAACGCTCCAATTTATGAGGTCGAAAATTCACTATTCCTGTGTGATATGTATTAGAACTTAGAAGTTAAGAAGAATAGTTAGTTATATACATTGCAGTGTCGTGGTAAATGGAACGATGTCATGAATTGCTAAGAAGACAAAAATGGTCTATATTGCACTAGAAGAAAATAAAGTGTGGAACTATCTTATTTAGATCTTGCCAAAGCCTCCGATACCGTAAACCATGATAAACTTTTATATAAAATGCATGAAATAGGTATAACCGGTTCTACTTTATTCCTATTTGATTTTTATTTAAAAAATAGTAAACAATAGGTAAAAATAAATAACTGTATCCCTAATGAACGAGTAATAAAATATGGTGTACCACAAGGTATAACACTATTGCCAGTTCTATTTGATATTCAATTAAACGTCATTAAATTATTAAATCTAAAAAGCCACATAACATGTTACGCTGATATGATACTGTCTTGATCTGTATAGGCAATACCTAGAATAATGTGCTAAGATATATTTTGGATGATTTAAAATTTATTGTTAACTGGCTATGTAATAATAATTTATCCCTTAAATTCTAAAAATTAGCTATCTTACTACACTCTTTATCTAAACACACATTACTACCAATAAAAGATATGAAAATTCATGAATACAAATGTAAAATAACAAATTTATGTTACTGTAAAACAATTATCATAGTTAAAAACTCAGACATAAAATAGAAAATATAAATAAATTTTATGACTAACAAATTTAAAAAAAAAATATATACATGATAAAACAATTCAGAGAGATATTACCAATGAAGGTAATTAGAAATATATACTTATTTAACATTATTTGTATTAGTAATTACATATAATATAATAGGGTGGGTAGGGGCAGATGATAATGTTCTATTGAAGCTTCAAAAATGCCAAAACGCAATTATTAAGGTTGTGAATAAAAAAAATTGGAGATATCCAACAAAAAAACTATTTCAACATTCTTAATATAAACAACTCATATAAATTATCATCACATACTTAAAAAAACAAAACCAATTATCTCCTGTTAACATGAAATTAACACTAGACACGTAGCTTATAACTTTTCTTTAGACTAGCCAAATAAAATCGGATACCGTAAAGTATACCATTTCTTGGGGATTCAGATATACAACTTAATGCCTATTCATAAAGCTAATATGCTTTTACCTGATTTAAAAAAACATATTATTCATTGGCTCCAACATGAATATACTGCGAGTAAAATTTGAAATGTTATATTTTAGATATACATATATTATTTTATTAAGACTACTATACTAAGATAACCCTGGGGCTCCAAATGAGTTTTCTCAGTGAGGCTCAGTAATCTTTCTGATTTTAAATGAAAATAAAAAAAATAAATAAATTATATATTCCTATAATAATCAGATAAAACAATTTAAAATTATACTTTTGTTTAAATTAAAATATTAAATAGAGCATTTTTTATGCTAAAATTTTTAACTATATAATAGTATATTCAATGAACGTTACCATTTGTTACAGCTTGTTCTCTGGCGTTTTCGTTCACCAACACCTTTATATGAAAAATACAAATGTATACATCATTATTAAGGATAATAAATTACTACATAATATTAAGAATACACAGATTTTTCAAATATCCGTACACAGTAAACTAGGTATATATATTATAATATATTATTATTCAATAAATATATTAATATTAAGCTATTAAAATCGAATAATTCAATGATAGAGTAATAAAATTAAGTACGAACCTTTCTTACTGGGTTATAGTAGAAGATCATGCGTCCGTTTTCGTCTTGCATTTGCATGCACCATTTGTATACTCTACCTTCAAATGTAAATGTTTTTTGTAATATTGGCATTATCACGAATGTAGAATTATAAACTTTATAAACAATATAAATAAGCTTGAGAATAACTATTTACTAAGAATCAAACAATAGATTGAGAATAACCAAGAATTAAATAAACTTTAATTTACTTTGAAAGCTAATATGAAATATCTAAATACTATATAGCTCATACACGTAAGGGCTGTCCTGAAGAACTGATCGTTTTTTAACATTTAAGTCAACACAGAAATATTTCTGTTTATATTGAGTTGCTATGCGATTTATATTTTTTATTTGAGCCATGGACTTAATGAGTAATTAAGCTTAACGAAATAAAAAAATAACTAAATGGACTATTTTAATCATAATTTTTTTTTTTTTTTTAATTTGAATAATTTGATTATACAAGTCATGTCAAGAATCCGATGGATAGCAAAATATTAAACTTATTTTAAGGATATTAGGTATATCATACAGGGTAATTAGTGGTAAATAGTCTATATTTTAAAAACTAACACTATTTTTAAAACATTACATTAAGACATTATTTTTCTATTTTTGATGAGCTGACAATATTTAATTAAATAAATAATTGAAAACATGTTGTTGTTATCGTCAACAAAGGTATAAAAGGCTTTTGAAATGACTGTTTGCATTTAGTATCGTTTCAGAAAGTACACCATACGGTTTACTCCTCGTAACGTAAACTTTTTGTACCTACATATTATTATATTCTTATTTAACGATGGAAAAAATGACAAACGAAATGAAGATTACAGCGATTTCAATTGAAACTATTTCTAAAGAACAACTCAACGGTCTGGCAATTAAAGTTTTGAGAAGTCAAATACTCTCGAATCCAATAAATAGAACATATAGTAAGTCGATGCCAAATATACATATTATGACAACTGGCTGTAATGGCGATAAAGTTGAACCCGTCGAAGTCCCAGTGCAATAGTCACCAATAGCACCACCTTATTGTCCATCACCGGTTCTATTGCCAAATTACGCCGGCCCGCAGATGAGACGATTGATAGCCATAGTAAATGCCACAATGATGGCCCCAGCCGCACAAATCAAGACCCATACCCCCCTCATTCCTCTTCATCATTACAGCAGGTTTCGGGCGAAACTAGCAAAAACCGCTCTGATATCATCCGTCCACCCGCAAGAAGGTGTTTATCAATGCCAATTATTTCAATAAACTTGCCGCCAACAGATGCTATAGAAATAGAGGACATCTCTATACCAATTTCACCACACATTTCTGATATCGAACCTAGTACAGTAGTTCCGCCTGTTAACAAACCTAAAAGAAAACGCCGTTCCTTTTTGGAATAGAACAAAAAAGTTTTCGAATGTTGTGTTGCGCATAGTGCAAATTGTTATTGTTTACTTATGTAATATTATATTACTAAAAATTGTGTTTGACGTAAATAAACGTTTTTGTTACCTTTATTATTTAATTGATTATCATTATTAAATAATATATAATTACTGTGAAAACTGTGATTATATTGTAAAGAGTTTATGGTTTTTTGTAACTTGAGTAAAATTTTTCACTAAGTAGCTGACGTGGAGTATTAGACCTTTTGACGAACGAATAAAAAATATTATTGAAAAAAAAAAAAAATACTACGATATCTACAAAATACGATGTGCTTATTTGGTTTCCTACGTTCTTTTCGTTAACACTTCTAAAATGCTAAGTTTTTATATTTTTGTTTAGTTCATAATACATTGAAATATATCGGGTTAAATAAAATCGTCAGAATTTTTATGTCATGCGTTTTTGCCTCTTGGTATAAAAAAATATAGCAAATAAATAAAAGTATAGCAATAGTTTTACAAAAGTCCAAATAAATTCATTTGAAACTTTAACTCACTCTCAATCAATTTTAAATCAAAAATAAAAATTTTTTGAACAAAATAAAAAAATTCAAACTTAAAAGAAATTGGAATTCGAAAAAAAATTTATTTTTCTACGGATTTAAAGCATAACAATAATTATTAAACATTTGTATTTTTTCAAAAACAAAAAATATTTTGTCCCTTATGTAGGTAGTAAAAAACTCGTGAAATATTTTGTGTTTTCTTTATCAAAACATCGTATAATAATTAATATATTTAAAAATTTAATTTAAACATTTATGTAAGTAAACAGTCAATAATGATGTATTATCTTTATATTTAGATGAACCAACGGTGTAAGGTATGCGAGGAACCGGCGGCCGGCTTTCATTTTGGAGCTTTTACGTGTGAAGGGTGTAAGGTGAGATAAATAAATATTACATGATTTTTTTGTTACTTTAAAGTTCAAAAGCAAATTTATGATATTATTTTTATTAATAATGTATCGAAACATATACCTAAAAACTCAATTTTTTATGAACAGTAAGTATATTATTATATTATCATTGTTTTTACTTCTGTAAAGATTTTGGTAATTTGTTTTTTTGACTGATATTTAAGGTAGATACTGTATAAGTTGCATAGTACAAGAACTTATTTTTATGAACAATATTTATTATAAACCTGTGCGATTAATGCGTATTGTATATTTTAGTTTACAAAAAGTTTTATTTATTTCAAATGAATTAATATTCAAATAAAATCCCAAGAAATTCATTCATTTTAACTCATTCAAATTTTATACATTTTACATAACATTTATAAAACACGATAAATAACTCAATTGTTTAACTACATTATAATATAGAATATGACCTTCTAAGTTTTAAGATATTATATACGTATAGTTACTGCAATTGCATATTATCTTCACTTTAGTTATAGCGAAGTCCATTGTTTTGATTTCTATTTGCATCCAAAGTGAATTTACAAATATTATTTATTTTTTCCATTGTGTTACTTCTCTGTTGCTACCTATATTATAATAATCATTATGCCCTTGTTATTATTCAAGTAACTTTTTGAAAGGAATCGTTAACATTTTGCATTTTCTTCATCGCGTGTATATAAATATTCATTTAATTTTGGTTTCGTTGTAGGTATTTTCTTTCCAGTATAATATCATAACTATTTATAAAATATTTCGTCCACAACCAAATTTTAGAACTTAATATATTTGGTCGTTTAGTTTGCACTCTCACGTGGAACGTAGGTATATGGTATTATTAATTGAGTTTTATGATGGTAAATTTAACATTGTCTTATTGCGTTAAGCACCTATAATTAACCACACTCGCACATCGTTAATCATTGTTTTATTTAATATAATATAAATAATTTCTTATAATTAACGACAGTGCAGGTGTCGAAGTTTATTTTGTGTAACCAAAACAAATATTTCGAAAAGAATCTACATACCAATGCGGCAATGCACCGATATTCGTGTTTGATAGATGCGTACATTAACATATGCGGTGTGTTAGAAAAACGTCCATCAGATTTTTTTACTAATATATAACGATTTGCACATATATCACATGAAATCCTAACAATTTGTTTATGATCAAAAATGTTTCTAAAAGTTTGTTAATAACAAGTGGTCAAATGCATCCCTTTCACCCCTAGTGTTTTAAAATTATATATTAAATTCTCTTGTGGTGACGAAATTTCCAATTGTTTTCCTCAATACTTTTCTCGTGTCTTTAATCCGTTTTCTACTGCGTTCCATACTCTTGTTACTATAATGACTTGTCTTTAGTTGGCTTTCATTCATGCTCTGTGTCTTAAACAAACATTTTCAATGAACTTAATACCACCTTAGTAATAATACGAGTCCTATTCCTGATAATAGTCTCACTATATTTTTACCGAATGTAAGTTACTCATTATATATGAAAATGATATGAAAATTTCAAATTTTGGCCTACTACTTTTTACTGATGATTTAAAAATATTTCGAATCATTAAATCTCAAATAAATGCATAACTTCTTCAAAATGGCCTTGATCTACTTAATGATTGGCATATTTCTAATAATCTACATTTTAATGTTGATAAATGTAAAACTATGACATATTCAAAAAAGCGTATAACTCAATATTAAAAATATTATTAAAATGACATTGAATTGACTAGTTTCTCGCGTCAAAGACCTTGCAAGTATATATTTTGACTCTTCCTTATTGTTCAATGATCACTATGCACACATCACAAATAAATCATCTTCAATGTTAGGCTTTGTAAGTAGAACATGTTTTGACTTCAATAATCTAATAGCTCTAAAAGATATCGATTATTGTTCTATTGTTTGGTATTCTTACATATCTGGTCCAGCTGAAACTATTGAACAATTTTCTAAAGATTTTTTGCTTTTAAATGTGGTGCAACGACACTCATCTAATTCGCCATTATTATCATTAACCAATTTAGAAGCTCTTAGAACAGTTAGAACAAAGAGAATTGGATTTGATCTTTGTTTTATTTTTAAATTATTAAATAGTATCGCCGATTTTTCAAAATTACTAGTTAAATATAATTTTTTGATTTCTGGTTGTCGCACTAGGCAATCCAATAAATTTAATGTGCCATTCTATTGTACTAATTATGCACAAAATATCCCCGTTATTAGATTAATGTGACTTGTGAACAAGTTTAATGTAGATTTGTTCTTTTGTAATAATTTAATATCTTATATTGTATTTCTATGGTCTATGAGATGATGTATGACTGATACTATGTAATTTACCAATATGATCATTGATTTTTGTTTCTGTATATCGGGCTTAGCCCATTTAAATTTTTAAAATAAATAAATATGTTACATTATAACGACGAAGTATCTGTTCTGTATACATTAATTATTATTATATACAATAAGCAGGTATTTTCATAACTTTATTATTCAGTTACGCGCTTATTTATTTAAATGATAATAATAATAATGTTTTTATAGTAAATTTAAGTTGATGATTTCATTAAACATTCTGATATGTCTAAACCAGAGTTTAAATGTGTAATTTCCGCTATAAATTAAATTTTACATACTAAGAATAACAGTTTAAATAATAAGCTTAAAAGATAAAATAATACATAAAATAATATTTATTATAATACCCACTTGTTGTTGTACTTTTATTATTGAGTTATGACAAATTATAAAACGCTAATAAATCAATAATAATCAGTAATTGATTATTAATGACTATAATTTTCAAATCATTTTATTTACTCGTTTGGACGTCTGTTTAGATATACTTACAATTTTTCAAACAAATTACTATCTTCTTAACAATTTACAATAATAAAGGTTGTTTTGAAAATAAAAAAAATTATATCACTACAGATCACTCCTTAAATACTATAAAAAATTTAGTATTCCAAAATTTGATCTTAGATGACCTAATTACACCTACATAAAAATTCCAGAAAATCAATATTTATATAATACATTTTTATATAAAAATAATAATCAGGTAATCGTGACCATCTTGACCTATACCTGAATAGCTAAATACTTTACAGAACGAATATTCGCGTTTTGCCTTTTTTCTACACTGTTAAACAAAACATAACGTCAGAAAATCATTGTTACGATATATAAGTAGGTACATCATAGGGTAATTAACTAAGTATACTTGCTACCATAATTTTCCTTCAATAAAGGATTAATTTAAATTTTGATTTTTTGAAATTTTTAAATATATTAATATTTAGGACCAGATTTTTAATTACTTGAATTATATTATATACCATAAATGTGTTTATATGAAACGATTATCATAACAATCTGCGAAATCGATTTTCTTTAATTCGAATTTTTCTAGTCATTTTTCGGCCGGGCACACACCAACCCCGCGACGGTGGTTTCAGCCAAGTGCAAATCGGGCGGTGGCCGGTGCGTAATCGACAAGAAGAACCGGACGTCGTGCAAGGCATGCCGATTGAAGAAGTGTCTGGCCGTGGGCATGTCAAAGAACGGTTCAAGATACGGCCGTCGATCCAACTGGTTCAAGGTCCACTATCTGCTCCGTGAACGGCAACTTTTACCCGGCAACGACGACAAGGACCACTACGATAAGGGTAAAGTCGGCACTCCAACATCGCAGTTGCCACGGAAACATCACCCACGTATCGCGCTGCTCTCGTTACCGGTACCGTTGCAGCGATGGGCACCGCCATTCTTCCAATTTTTCGATTTCGCGCCGAACGGTCGATCTCCGTTACCGCGGTCCGAGTTGTCGGCCTTCCGCGAGACCACCGTCTTCAAATCCGTAGACGAAGATGACCGACCTATAGATCTCACCGTTCGTCAGTCGGCCAACAACGACGACGACGATTATAACAACGAGACAACCACCTGGAAGATAGCCAAGTTACGATTGCTGCAACAGAGCAAAATATCCGAAAAACCTCTCGACCTATGCGTTGGGAACATTGACCACCGGAACTTAGAGGTGGGTAAAGTCCGACGACGCAACTACGTGTAATAGTCCACAAATGTACAATGACAATGCTGCATCTGAGACACGGTACAACCGGGACTTGAGAAAAACTAATTACCGATCTCGGACGTACCCAAAAAAATATAAACAAACGGCATTCTCCCACCGATATACCTTGCCGTTCAACAGTTATCACCGCTAGATTAAGAATCGGCCACACCAATCTCACCCTGCATATTCATCCGATGAATCACGAAGTAAAACCAAACTGCGGCTAATTGCGACGAACTTATTATTTAACAGTGCTTGAAATTCTCCTACGCGTCACTGAGACAATCTTATAAAAGAACCCTCTGGAAAACAACTCTAAGAACAAAGTACCCTCTTTGTACGTGATGAATTTTTGAAACCGCGGTATTGTTACCAAAATAAATAATATTACGATGTTAAAAATATACATTCGACGTAATATAATAAGTTAGGTTATAAATTAATTCAAAATAAGATAGTTGTATTATAAATGAAGGCTTAAGCCTAATATTGTATAATCTGGAAGTCTTGTTGCTGATGCATGTGTTTTTAATAAAAATAAATGAATGATATAATTTCTGTTTGCGAAAAAACAATCATTATCATTTTAGAATAAGAATACCTACGATTTTCTGGTAAATTAAATCCTGTTATTGTGACTACTGCAATTACCTGCGTTGCATCGTATATTGCATATGTTTCACAATAATTTATTTTGCAGCAATTACAGCTTAAATATAAACAGGTCCGTTTGACGAAACAGAGCGTTAAGTCATATTGAAACGATATACGGCTACCGGGGGATAGTCCCAATATTCAACGCGCGTATTAACTATTGTCTATTAAATTATAGATAGACTTAAGTTAATTCTCATATTACTTACACTTTGTCATACAAAACTTGTATAAACTGTTTAAAAATAAATAAATTAAAAAAAAAAAAAATAGTAATAATTTTAAATTTCAAGTACCTACGTAGACGTTTACTTGCACATCCCATATAAACAATAAATAGTCTTTGTAATAATTTTCTAAAATGACTTTCTGTCTCTATACTTACATAAAATTAAAGTGACTTAAAACGAAAATACTTACTATTAAAATATTATAAGCACCCTGTGTGTATTTGTTCATATATACCATATAGTTACCTCAAGCAGGAATATATTGTTGGTTTACGCTGGTCATGGACTGTATTGTGTATATATTGTATGTATATACGTTTATAAGTGGCAATATCCTCTGCCCACCCACGCTCACTTAATACTTGCCGACACGGTGCACGATTTATTGGTTTATTTTAATTTCAACCTTTTTTATACACTCTTGTAATTGATGACGTTCACAATAATGACCTCTGCGTTAGTACAGTCACGTGTTATTTTTAGTATAAAAATATATTATATACATATAGGTAAAGATGTATCTGCTACTACGAGTATATAGATGGATTTGTAAATTACATCTTCTGAATTGCAGCACATCATTGTTTAAAATTCACGCAATGATAATATGCATATACGTAAATGCATATTGCAAAAACTAAAATTTTAATTTAAGTACTATCATAATATTTAATATGGGTATCGTGTTTATGATTCATTAATCGTTGTAGTGTAAAATAATATATAGCTATGCTTTGCACAGTAAACAATATTAATGATTACGAAGATTGAACGTAATAAAATGTGTTCGAGAAATAATTATTGGTTATTACTTATTATTATTAATGTCGACTACAGGACTCGGACGGCAGAAGGCCGCGCCTACGAAGCTCGTCGAGGTTATGCGTGTATATACATTGTGCATACGTGCTTTTTCGGACGATGAATTTATGAAACAAATGCGCAATTGTAAACATACGGCAAAAACGCGCGCGTGCGATTTAATATAAAGACATTGACCTAAGGGGACGGATCGGATTGACCTATCGAATTAGTGACTTTTTTTCCGTTTGTAATTCGTTTGTATACCCATCAACGACGGCGGCGGCTCATTAATCAAAATTTGAATTGACATATAGCAAAGCAGAGATTTTGATAAACATATGTCTACGCGCTCAAACATACACACACACACACCACAGGAAATACGCGTGTAAGGATGCACTACGTATTAAGTTTGATATTATTCACAGCAAATTAAATCTTCGACGACATTTTACGGTACGAATCATTAACAAGCGATCGTCAATTTTCATCAAACAGTACACATTTTAAACAATACCACTAAAAATAAACACACAATCGTTCACACACATACTTTATTGGCAGTATAAAAAGTTGTATCTTTGAACATAATCGTGTAATCTTTGACCTAAAAAAAAAAAAGAATAATAAATTTTTTATTTATTGTCGTTTGAATATGTTTTTTTTTTTTTCATAGTAAAACAAAATAAATTCATAATAAATTATAATATTATATATCTCTGTCGGTTGAATGTGTAAAACGTAATAATACTTTATGAAATAACAAACAAAGTATCTACTTGGAACTATTAATCATATATATTATATTGTACACATTATGTTTACAAATACATTTCACATTTTAAATAAAATCGTATAGCTTTGATTTGTACTAAAATAAATTCTCATACAATAATATATGAATAATTTAAAGATAATGATTAAATCAAACATAATACGCGTTATTATAATATGATATTCCTCTTAAATAAACAACTAAACGATTTATACCACTTTGTGAAAAAAAAGAAGGAATTCCACTCCGGAGCCGAATGATTAATCACTAATCAGCTCTTTGAAATATATATATTTTCAACTGTCTATACCATCGTATTTCAGTACATAACACTAAAAAAAACATACATATAATATATAGGTAATAAGACGTATTGTATGAACCACAGCGAGATCAGACCGGCAAAAACACACAAAATTTGATGGAATAATTAATTGACCAATATTTCTCGCGCCACCACCTGTATAATGCATTTAATATTTTGCTCAGTAAATATTCGGTATAAGGATAATATAGTATTATGCTTGGCCTTTACGGTTTACCACGTGATTATTTATTACAGCCAATAGCCCGGGGACGAGGCGCAGTTTATTATGTCCATATATTAAGGTACGTGAACGTGATATTATTCCAAACGAGAATATTGAAAAAAAAAAGTACTCAAATACGCACATGTACCCCGGACGTGTACTAATACCTGGATTCTGGACATAATGACACTAACCTAAACCTAACCTAGCTTGAATAAATAACACATAAGTCTCTCATTTTAATATGTAAAGAAAAAATAGTTTTTACCAGGACCCTATTGGTCGTAATATAATATTATATGTATTTTCCACAGCAGCTTAATATTTTAATTATATGCCTAACATTACAAAACAATATGGTAACGATAATAATATATGTGATTAATGGTCATCGTATTAAATATAAATTAAATGAATAAAAACTGTGTCTATTGGAAAAATATGACTGTTTATGGAAATTTGATGGAATTAAATCGAAAGACATACAATATTATATTTCAAAAAAGAATTACCTTAAATTATAAAACGGGTACAGTACAGAAGTCGAATTTTTCGTTAAAATATTTTTACATATTTAACAATAATGGTCTTTGGAAAGATAAACAGCTAAACGTGTCCGAAAGCCAATTAGTACAATAAACATATTGGTTGCTGGCTAGTAATCAACAATTCATTATTGTCGCTATGGAGATTTTCAATCCTCTCGTAGTCGAACTGCAATATTCTAATTCATTAATGATTCTGAGTCCAAACAAAACTTCACCATCTCCCACACGCAACATATTTTCAATAATAACTTAACAATTAATTACCATGGCTAAATTTACCGAAATTGATGCAGTTTGTAAGGAAGTTATTGAAGACCTCAAAACTGTCGTAATCATTATTACTGCAATGGAGGAATCCATGGACGATGTCATTGAAGGCGTCAACGAAGACTCGTTATCGCTTGTGTGCAGCAGCGAGGATCCGTTGCCCAACGGAGAAGTTTCGAAAAAATCGAAGGGTGACGCGTCGATCGCGCAAGACGTGGTGCCGGTCAAGGGACCGGAGGAGCAAAATTTGTTTGGAGAGCTGGTCGGTTGCAGGCTTGAGCCGAGTGCCACCATGCCGGAACCCGCCCCTCGCCGTCGGCAATTGGCAGCGGCTTGGAAGAGCATTAAGCGAGTATTCCGGTATGCGTGTTGTATCCGATGTAACTAGCGTCCGCAATCCCCTAACTCTCACCCCTCTCCCTCTCGACCGAAGCCGTCGGACTTTAAAAATGCTACATTTTTTTTTCATTGTAAAATGTGTATTCATTTTTAATTTTTTCAAAAAATGTTTGTTAAAAAAAAACTAATAAAATTAAAAGTTGTTCACGAAAAAAGTTTTATTTACTATCGTATTGTATGGATTATATAAATCATTACAAAATGTACAACTTGGTGTCTTAAAATAGTTAAAATATCATACACTGAAGTCTATAAAGTAATGAATGGTTCGAAAATCGAAACAAAACAATTATGTCATTTCATTATATAGATCACGGCTTCAGATAAAACTATTTATAAAAACTAAACTTTGAATAAAACATAAAATGTGTAGAACATGAAAAAAATACCTGAATTGAAGGAATAAAAATATCTATCGTAATATTATGAAAGCTTTTGAAGTAGCTTTATTCGTTTTAATATTTCAATACATAACATAGTAAATAAACAATTCATTTCCTTAAAGTAATAAAATTGTATGAGATGGGCTTATAATAATATTATCATTGTTGTTACGTGTTAGTTGTTATACATGCTTGCATATTTGTGAACATGTACCTATATTATGGTTTTCTGTTGACAGCAAAATAAGAATAAACAATAATTATAGCTCGTATAAAAATACATAATATAGACATGTATAATGTTGTTCTATTATATTATTCAAAATATTTTTTTTTTAAATAAAAAGTTTATACCTATTACATTTTTCGATTACTTTGATTAATTTTAACTTTATGAAAATATCTATTTATAATAAGTATAATAAATATTTGTGTTTATAATAGGAAATATAGTTTATAAACATTTGTAAAAAAAATTTATGAATTATAGAATTTATACTGAAAAAAATAAATTGATTATTATTATAGATTATATTATATATAGGTACAACTGAATTGATATGTTATAGTCTTACAGATAATTTTATCCTTATATAAACCATCAGCCATGGCCTTTCCAAACTTCTTCACCGCGCTACTGTGACTAACTGATGAATATTTAATGGTGACCAGGTAAGAAAGTAATAATACAAATTTGAGAACTATCGTGTATACTACTAATCTAGATCATTTTAATAACGAAGTTGTTAGGAGAACCGTTCATAGTTTTTACGACAATTATCAATTTCCTACAAGTGCAAAAATATTGGCAGCAATGCGTGAAAAAACCAACTATCCGGGTTCAAAATCGTCCAT